CTCTGCACCTCAGTTTCCTCAAGTAAAATAGAAAAAATGACACCAACCTTCATGCAGAAGTGATGCCACAGAAGGTTTTCCAGTTCAACATGTACAAACTCTCCATGTCCTACCCAACTTGCTCCCTTTCAATCTTCGTTGTCATCTACTAATCAATTACTAGGTCTTAGGATTTTAAACTTCTTAAATTTCATTGGAATTTTTCCATTTATCTCCACCTTCTACTGTACTATCCTATGCTAGCTACATTATCGTCTCTGACCATAGGACCCTTAAATGTGCCCACCTTCTCAACATTCTCTGAGAGAGATTCTTGCTGATTATTTCTATAATCCATTCTTGACAGGACAAGAGCTCTAGAGCTTTGGGAAATGCAAATACGATCACATCCCATGTCTTCTGCTTAAAATCATTCCAGATCTCCTCCTTGCCCTTTGGATCAAAACCAAACTCTGAAACATAAATTTTAAAGTTTTGCATACTCTGTAGTCCCTACCTTTTCCTCCATCCTCATTCATAATGCTCTCCCTCTTCCAACTCCACATCTCTGCTAGGCTAACTTATTTTGCCCTCTTCATGCATCACACTGGCTCCCTCTCCTATTATTCCCAGCCCTAAAATAAGTGGTCACCTCAACTTGGGACAAGTTTTCTTCATTGTGTCCTCCCCTGCTTGACTTGGCTGACTTCATTGTCCTCTCTGTAGGGTATAAACCAACCTGACCCTGTCAATTATTAGGATTCAGGAGACCAGCAGTTAGCGTAATGGCTATGTCGCTGGACTCTATGTAGTCGACTGTGGTTCGAGTCCCAGACCCAGTAGCTTAAAATCATGCCAGGCGCGTGTGCATGTGTGCCCAAGATCCTGAGAGGAGAATGGATTGTGGCATGGCCATCCCCCCTGGGAGGTGATTTCTCGCTTTCTATCTCTCTGTCTCTGTCTGTCTTTCTGGTGAGCGCAGGTACCCTATAGCAAAAACCTCTAAAAAAAAAAAAAATGATTAGGATTCAAATAGCAACACCCAGTGCTTCTACTCTCAAGATACTTCATTATAGTTACTAGTTTAGTTCTGTGGTTTTTCTGTAGGCTAGAAGGCTATCACAATAACGGAGTAAAGGGTCCAGCTGCTGGCCCAACAGTGGCATCACCAAGAGAATGTATCAGTGATGGGTTTTGACCTCCATCAAATAAAAGTAGCCCCTTGTTTGCAAAATGATATGCTGCTTCCCCTCAAAAAAAGGTCTTTTGATCAGACCTTTTTACATTTTTCTACCTGTCCTCACTTTAAATCATTGTCCTTGTTTTTAAATGGAAGCATATAAAGAGATTTTGGAACTGAATAGGAACAGTAACAGTGAATATTTATTTAAGTTTAAAGATTTTTTTTTTTTGCCATAGTGCAGGTGTACTTGCCAGACAGACAGACAGACAGAGAGAGAGAGAGAAACAAAGAGAGAGGGAAAGTGAGAAATCACCACCCAGAGGGGATGGCCATGCTGCAACCTCTTCTCCTCCATTCTCCTCTTGGGATTTTGGGCATGCACGCACATGCGCCCAGGACAATTTTCAAGCCACCAGGTCTGCAACTCTAACCAAAGTCAACCCTGTGAACCTCAAGCACCCTAACCACCTAACCACCACACCATCTGCTGGCCACAGCAATAGCAGCAGCGAGTCATACTGTTACAATAACTAAGTGATAATATCAGAAAACCGTATGTTGGAGAAAGGATATTACCAAGAGACTTACCATTAACTAGCATCATTAAAGAATGGAAAAAAATGTTTTTCTCTTCTCTCCTTTAGTAATGCCTTAGACTTTCAATTTTATGGACCAAAATAAATCCTATAACTGAAAGTTAAAAAAAATAAGATGAAGAAGGTGGTAGGAGTGCAGGTTTTGGATTTAGATTTGTGTTCTGCCCTCATATTTGCATATCAAGTTGCTCATGATCTTTTTGTGTCAATTTCCTCCCTGAAATGGGGGGAAATAATATTGTTTACCCATATAGTTATTTTGAGTCAAATGAGATATTATGTATATACATATGTACATATTATTAGTTGTCAGGAAAGTCATGATGTGTTTTTCTGTTTTGCTATGCAAAAATGCATCATGAATTTCTGGACAGCTCAATAGTATACACATATGCATATACATATGAGTGTATGTAAAATATATGTGTGTATACTATTGGGTTGTCAGGAAAGTCATGACACATTTTGCATAGAAAAGCACATCATAGCTTTCCCAATGACCTAATAGTATATATTATATATGTGTGTGTGAACGGTTCAAGTATATTAACTGATACATAAAAAATAAGTCCTCAATAAATTAGGATACAGGTATAACGGGTACTTACTAAGTATGAGTTCCTTATTTTATTTCTTCCTTTTTAAAAAATTTGCCAGAGGGCACATGTGCTTGCCAGAAAGAGACAGAGAAAGAGGAACAAAGTCACGCTGCAATCCCTTTTCCTCCATTTCTCATTCCTTTCAGGATTTTGGACATGCACACACATGTATAGGCATGTTTCTTAAGATGACGAGTCCGGGACTGAAACTGTGCATTTGGTTATGGGAGATCCAACCACCTTAACCGTCAAGTGACTGGCTGGTCCTGTTTTGCCTTTCTTTCTTTTTCTTTTTTTTTTTTTTTTTGTAGATTTTTGCCATAGTGTATGTATGCTCATCAGAGAAACAGAGAGATAGGGAAAGTGAGAAATCAGCCAGCAGGGAGCATGGCCACACAGCAATTCCTTCACCTCCATGCCCCTCTAGGGCTTTGGGGCATGCACACACACCTGCCCAGTGCGTTTTTTAAGCCACCAGGTCTGAAAGTTGAACCATTGTGTCAGCTATGTGGGATCCAAGGCCTTAACTACCACTACCTGCTGGCCCCCTGTTTTGCCTTTTAAAGCAACATATTCTTAAGGTTATTTTCTTAGAGTTCATTTTCTCTTTTTCTCCATTTCCCATTAGCTTGATTTGAGTCCCCAAAGTAAAAATTGTTAATATTCTGTTTGTTTTCCCATTCATTCATTTTCCCCAAATCTTCTCCAAGTCTTCAGGTATGACATAAAAACATAAAGTAGAATAGAAGTGGGTAAAGAATATGCTATATTCATAAAATGTGTTCTCCAGCCAATCATCAGGGCATCCCTTCCCTAATTTATTGCAGATTCTGCCTCTGCCCACAAGGCTTTAGTGCTTGCCTATTTCTGAGCACTTCCTTCAGAGTCTACTGACTGGAAGTCCAGTGTGTGTTAAGGCCCTAGCATGAAGCTCATTCGATAGGCAGGACTATAGCATGCAAGTTAATAACTGCAGCTTTCTATTTCACTCTGAAAAAAAAAATATGTACATACATATGTATATATAATTTTCCACTTTATTATTATCATTATTATTTTATGAGGGAGTCTCACCCAATACATTTCTAAAACAGAACTACAAATTAGTGCAGCATGGGGTATGTGACATTTTTAAGGTCTTTGAGGAGATGACAAGACAAGGAACTTCCTACTCTCATGGAACATAAGCTTTTGTGAAAACATTATTTGTGAAAATCAATAAACATTGTACCTCGCCACTGAATTTTGCGAGGGTGTCCTTATTACCTGGTAGTCACCAGGCTTTACAAGATTATTGTCATTTGGATTCTCAAATGAGTCACTGGGTCTCTTGCCCCCAGAGGCACTTCATTATGATTCAGTGCAAAGTACTGACAGGGCTGGGCTTCCGGGAGTGAGTGTTGTCCCGGGGAGGGGGGTTGCCGGGGCTCTGTGTTGGCATGAGGCTTAATTGACACCTTTGATGTAGCCTAAGACAGAACCTGCACCTCCCTCTGCTGCTTGGAAGACGTCAGCCTTACGCAGAAAAGGCATCTGCTGATGAATTCTGCATCTCATTCAGCTTGCTCTGAGAGCAGCCTTAGCTATCCTTAACTAATCCAACCGCTTCCCATTTCCGCTGGTGCTCGGCTTAGTGCTGAGAAGAGATTTTGCCTCTTGATATTGTCAGGTCAAATACTAAGACTGTGTCCATGTTAGAACTCATTGAAGGTAAGTAAAATGCTTCCTCACTCTCTCGCGTGCAAAGTGGCTAGTATACACCCTCTGGCATGTATGTGTCTCCTGTCTAATTCCACTCCACTGGTTTGTGGGACTGTACTGTAATGTTGTCATTTTTACAGGTAACATAGAGGTGACTTTATGGAGCTTTATAAAACCATGTTTAAAGTGTTTTATCTGTTCTTGGAGATGATGTTACTTAAAGAAAAGAATTGCTTGCTTGAGTTCTGTGGCTTTGATTCAGCTTGGTGAATGGTGTTTACAACTCTTGAGAAATCGGTTGGAATTCCCTTGATTTGAACTTGTTAGTGAGCAGCTTTTCTTTTCAATGGCAGCAGAGGCAGACTGTGAGGAGTTCTTTAGAGTCTGTGGCCAAGTACTTTGTCCTGTTTGAGGCAAGTCCATCAGAATCAGGCTGGAGGAGGACAGGTGAATGGGCACAAGTGGATACAGAAACTTCCCCCAGCAATGAGTTATTACTTATTCAAATACAGTGATCTACAAGCATTTTATCAGCCCATTGGGAATATCACTTATGAGCTGAGCTACTGTTTACTACTACTGGGTAGTACTGGGCAGCTAAACTAAAGAATTAAGGATGGATACTGTTGAAAATGTCTCAGGACATTAACAGTTTCTAAAATCTCTGTTGACACAGTTGAAAGCCTCATTAATAAATTCTTCAGAAAAGTTGTGAAAACTACATTTTTAAAAATTATTATGTAATCCACTGTTATTTCAAACACAGAATTAGCAAACTAGTGAATTTCTGAAGAAGATTACACCCCAAGGCTTTTCTTCATGATTCAGATAAAAGGGTGTCTGGAATTTTAGCAGATGCCCCACTATAATTGTTCATTGCTGTGAGAAGATGAGAATTCTAAAGTCTGACATGTTCTTCTGTGTGGTTTTTTGTATTTCTAGTTAATGGAACCCCTGGTAGTCAGCTTTCTACTCCACGTTCCGGCAAGTCTCCAAGCCCATCACCCACCAGCCCAGGAAGCCTGCGGAAGCAGAGGGTAAGGAAAAAAAGCAAGCTTCTCATTTAAGACCTGTCTGAGCCCAGGTGCAGAAGGGCATGGATGCCAGGCAGTTGTGCCACTGGTCTCTAGGTAATAACCAGAGGCAGGACATAATCAACAGGGGGTCACTTAACTCTTGCTATGATTTAACTAGAATTCAGGGGTTTTACTTTCTTTGTAAATTTGTCCAAATCTTAACCTGAAAGGAATGTTCATTTGTTGCTTCACTTTTAAATACCCTGGTCTTTTCTTTCTGAATGCACAGACCTTCTGAGCACTGGTTTATTAGTTTCCTGAGTTGCAATGAGTTTTATTAGATGTCATGATTGATTACCAGCCCCTTCAGGAAAATAAAAGGTGCTGTTAAAGGAAGGAAGGGTCTCAGTGAAGAGTTGCTTTGGCCCAGAGCAGTCTAGAGTCCATGGAGCAGGGAATGGGCACGCGTGACACGTGCTTTTGTGAATGAAACTCACAATGAGCACCTGCTTCCATCGTACTTGCAGTTAGTTCTAGCCTGCTGTGTAAGAATGGAGAAATAGGTCAACTTTGGATACCAAAGGAAAAAGTCACTGGAAACAATATTAGTTTTCCCATGTTAAGGAAGGAGGTGAGGGTTAGTTTCTTCTTCAGGATGGAAGAATTACTGTTCTCATCTCCTCCTAACCTGTACTGTCTTTTCTAGTAATACCAAGGCAAGAATAAGAGGAGGGGAGAGGGCACTCAGAGGAGGGTACAGAGAGGTGCAGCATGGAAGGCCCTTAGGGAGGGAGTGCACACTGAGCAGACTTTATGATGGTGCTCACCAAACATTTTAATAAGGCAAGGGCTCCTTGGTGGCTACTGTGCTCACATACTGGATTTTTGAATTTGCTTTCTTTTACTATGTGTTTTAAAATGAGACTTTTAAGTTTCATACATTTAAGCTTCTTCCAAGATGGAAGCCCCTCTCTTTAACTCTCCTGCCCAGTTCATGTCTTTAGGCCACCAGAACCATCTGCCATGTGAAAGTGTATGTGAGTGTGGTAGGGGCAGGCCTGCAGGAGAGTCTGTCCCCAGTCCCTTTGGAGCTTGTCGCACCAAATATCAGATTTTGTTATATTTCTCCACTGATTTGTCTGGCGTCAGGTTTAGTTTATTTGGATTATTTGATGAGGTCTGGGATTTGGCATCAACTTTTCCACTAAATGACTGTGTTATCTTAGATAAGTCTGTTTTCCTTCCTGGGTCTTAATTGGAAAAACAAAACAAAGAACCTCTTTCCACATAGAAAATCCAAGAATTCTTTTCTAGTTCTATTTGAGTGTTTCACTATGGTTTCTTCTTAGCCACGTCCAATTTGGCATTTTAAAGTATAGGAATCATTAGTGAACTATTCAAAGAAGAATTAGCCAAATCATTTAATCTCCTAAAAGCTTATCCTTGCATGGAGAAAGTATTGGTGCAATCACTCTTTACTTGTAAAGGTTCCCTGGCAAGACTCCAATCTGTAGGGAGGGATAGCCATTAGATAAAGCACAGGAAGGGTCCTCTTTCAGAGAACTCTCTCTCTCTCAATTATACTTTGGATAGTACACTTAGCATAGAAATCTCTTTTGAGCTAATTAAATTCATATTGAGGATTTATTGCTTTTGTTCATACTTAGTTGTTGAGATTAAGAGAATCCCAGCTGTAGACACGAGCTTCTTTCTGATTATTGTGAAGACTTCTATCTTGGAGATGTAAAGCTTTGCTCAAATATCCCTTTTTTGGCAGAACAAAGTTAAAATTTGCTTCTTCTGACCTTTGTATTTTCTGCTTCATTATGATTTTGACAAACTAAGGCAGAAAACTTCTATCCAGCTGTGTGGTCATTGGCTTATATATGAACATTTCCAGCACTTGGGAAAGGATTGTAAGGTATGGCTCTCTTACAGAGGCTTCATTTTGCCAATCCACTACCAGTGTGAACACTGTACTTGAAAGAAAAAACAATTCCATTCGCTTTAGGAGACAAAGGGTTTATCACCATCTGAAAACATTTATTAAGCACATGTTGTGAGCAGCCTGCTGGATATATTTAAAGATGGTTCAGTCTCTCAGCTTTTGAATGTGGGCCAGAAATGAACATCCTCCATCCATGTACCATGTCAGTGCATGGAGACATTCCCAGCTGCTTTAGCAAGAAGAGCTTTCATCTTGGTGTGTAGGCAACTGCATCAAATAACCTCTCCCAGTTAAAATGGGCCTAGAATGTCCCTAAAAACTGATCCTGTTTCAAATTTGGTTAATGTTCTTCTCAAATGGTTGGCTGTACTCCTATGCAGGAAATACTGAAATAAGTGAAAGATGGCATGTGCTAAAAGAAGATACTTCAAAGAATAAATTAACTCTTCTTATTGCAAATTGGAAAAACAGTAGCACTTCTATTTTTTTTCCCCTTCTGTGTTGCTTAGCAACATGGTCAGGAAAATGAATTGGCTACCCCCTGCCCAATACACATACACACAAATGCACACACACACATGCATACAAACATACATACTTCTTAGCCCATTTTAAAATACAAGAATATAAGCTGTTTTTGTAAATGGAATATTGAAACATTTGGCTGCTTTCTTTACAAATAGGAAAATCTATATTTTTACTTATATTAAATATGATGATTTAACCAAAATTTTTTTCTTTCTTTAAAATACTACTTTTATGTTACCTCTTTTGACGTTTTAGAAGAGTCATACAATAAATCTGCTTGATAGATATTTTTCTTTATACACACATTCCTGACCATGTACCAAGTGACCACCTTATTTTTCCAAAGCACAGTGATTTAAACTGCTGTCTAGAAGCATTTGACTGGTCACAGAAGCAGATCTTAGAGGCTCTTCCCCATCCGTGAACTTTTCTTTTGGTCCTATTTCTCTCTATATCAGGAAGAAATGTGTTGTGTTATGTAGGTTGAATGAAGCTCCCCATTATCCTCCCACATCACTGACTTTTGTAGATTATTTGATCAGTCAGATGATGTGAGGAGTGGGTGGTATAAAATAAAGCCAACTGTAGACACTGCAGATCTGAGCCTGTTGCCTGGCTACCAACACAGAGATCTAGTAGCAGAGAGGGGCGGGAGAGAAGAGGGGCTGTGATGGGTGAGTTCCTAGGGAAACCAGGAAAGAGCATTGGGAAGGCATGGAAAAGGGGTTGATTTTACATTCTTTTTGCTATCCAAACGTAACATTTTAAAAAGGTAATGTTCACTGGGTTTATAATATGTGCAAATGCAACACTTGAGTTGCTGCTCTGTGACCAGAATTTGCTGAATGCCAGCTGGGGCTCCTGATAAATTATTTTGTGAGGTAAGCATGCTCCTTTTCTACCAAGAATGGGAAGGAAATGTTCAAGGAAGAATTGCCTGCACACAGAGAAGCAGATTTGGCCTTGACTTCTGGGGCCATAAAGTTCAACTGGGCAAGAAGGAAGGCGAACGCTACTGAGTAGGTCAAACATTGTCTTGCCCATAGTTGAAATCAACACTGTTTTGTCTATTTAGATGGTTTTTCAATTATCTTTCTTTGTTTTCAAAATTGGTGGTTTTAAAAAGTGTGATGATATTAGAAACCAAGGATGCCCATTCTGTGTTGTTCCTAAGAGAGCGACAGGGTACCCAAGAAAGTCAAGTAAACAAATCTGTACCACACTTCATCTTTCAGGACCTGTATCGCCCTCTCTCCTCGGATGATTTGGATTCAGTAGGAGACTCAGTGTAAAAGAGACAATGGAGCAATGTATATGGTTTGTGATTGGGTGAAGGTTTCACATTTCCTAAGCAAATCTAACAGCAAAATACACAAAAGAGTTTTGCATAACTTGAAATGATAAAGACGAAATCACACCAAAGTAAATATGTAGGCATTTTATACTTGTGATGATGGAGAGGTTTAAAATACCTCCTGTGTGGATTTTGCTGTTAGATTTG